TATTCTCGACAAGAAAGCTACGTTAATCAACGCATAAGTAACTAACAATACCAAGATTTCTCGACAAGAAAGTTACATTAATCAACAAACAAGTGCGTTCTCAACAAGAGAACTATATTAATCAACGCATAAGTAACTAACAATACCAATATTCTCGACAAGAAAGCTACGTTAATCAACGCATAAGTAACTAACAATACCAAGATTCTCGACAAGAAAGCTATGTTAATCAACACATAAGTAACTAACAACACCAAGATTCTCGACAAGAAAGATACGTTAATCAACGAACAAGTAATTAACAATATCAAGCATTCTCAACAAGAAAGCAACACTTAAGTAGCTAACAGTATGAAGAACTCCCAACAGGAAAGCTACGTTAAACAACGCACAAGTAACATGTTATAACTAAATCATTTTATGGTTCTTCATAAGTATTGAAATAGAAAGCTAAGTGATAAATTTATAGTAAATTTAGGCTTACGTTTTAGAGAAAGAACCAAGCACGTACAGTTGTATAGTCCCATTAAAAAGATGATAAAGAACAGTGTAAACAAATAGAGCAGTTGAAAATAGTGTCAAATATTTACATAAAGGGTTTCGTGATTAATCTTTGACTTTACATATTGGCGAAGAGATAAACTAACAACATTTATATTAAAATCAGAAAAGCTTTCAATAAAGAATAAATATGCTATAGAAATGGATAGAAAAATTGACTGTTTTAAAACTTTGTGAAAAAACATGTCAAAGATATTCAGATGTTAAAAGATTTGGTAGAGATTTCTACCTACTTGTGAATGGCCTCTTGTCCCGCGAGTTATCGTCGTCAGTGCTGCCTTGCTGGCCTTCATCAGCAGTATCACCATCAGTGTTACCGGTTTCACTCGGAGAGGATGGGGGTCCACCGTTCCGAAAACCTCTTAGGCTGGATGAGGACAGAGGAGAGGCCACGGGTCGTGACTCCGAATCAGAGACAGGTGCCGATGGTGGTATCGTTAGATTTGTAGCGTACTCGTTGATTGCTTGAAAGTCCGAGGAAGAGGAGCCGGAAGAAGCGAGCTGGGTCAGTGATCCCGTCCGGAAGGCCTCTGCTGTCGAGACTAAAGGTGGAGGGGGAGGTGGAAAAACAGAAGAAGGTAGTCCGTAGGAGAAAGCAGACGAGGTGATCATATGTCGAAATGTCGTAGAAGGGCAGGCAGATTCCATGTTTTCGAGGGACATAAGAATTTTTTTGCCCTACTCGTAAAAATCAAGTAACGAAAAATTGGGTGTCATTAAAAAAAGTACATAGATTTTAAATAAAAATATTTCAAAAACTACAACTTTAAATTGATTCCACCTTTAAGTTTCTCGGTATAGCTTATTTTTCAGCGAAGTTGATGCGGAAATTGTTCAAGTTTAGTCTCTGCCTCTAACATCCACAATAGATAATACATCCGCTTCTAAAAGTCTACTGTTCCCTTCTCCTCCTCTTGTGTGACGCATCACGTTTTCTCCGCCTATTCACGCACTTTATTGCCACGCCTGCTAGCCAATCACTCTGACGAGTGTACTGCGTGAAGATTACCAGCGGCTATTTGTTCCAATTGGGACAGTTGGTTCAAACGGCATGTGATTATAAATGTTTCTGTGACTTTGTAAGTTTAACTATTTGGAAAGCGATGTAAATATACGACTCCTCTACTAGTAATACCGTAATATTTAGAGACGTGACAGCTCCTCTACCTGTAATACCGTAATATTGTAGAGACGTGACAGCTCCTCTACCTGTAATACCGTAATATGTAGAGACGTGACAGCTCCTCTACCTGTAATACCGTAATATGTAGAGACGTGACAGATTTTTGTAAGCCTAACAACATTTCTTCGTTGAACACTATGCAGAGCTAATGTAATTTAATTCTGAAATAAGATCATATTATGAATTCTGATTGTATGAAACTATGAAATTATCTAAGCAAACAGAAAATAATGAGACAAAAATAAGGGGAACCGTAGTACTAGAATTCTAAAGGGTTTTATTTCATTATGTGAAATCGTGAAAAACGTAATGTTCTGATTAATAATACCTTGAAACTGCTCAGAAAACATGATCAACAATACTTCAGCATCTGTTTAGGGAAATTCAAACACGCCAGACTCTAATATCTTGTAAAATTGACAATACGAAAAGATGGTTTACAAGTAGCACTTCCTTTCTCATCCTAATATCTTGTAAAATTTACAATACGTAAAGATGCCTTACAGGTAGCTCTTCTTTTATCATCCTAATATTTCGTAAAATTTACAATACGTAAAGATTCCTTCAGGTAGCACTTCTTATCGCACCCTAATATCTTACAACACGTAAAGATGCCTTACAGATAGCATTTCGTTTCTCACCATAATATCTTACAACACATAAAAATGTCTTACAGGTAGCACTTTCTTTCTCACCCTAATATCTCACAACACATAAAGATGCCTTACAGGTAGCACTTCCTTTCTCACCTTAATATCTCACAACACATAAAGATGCCTTACAGGTAGCACTTCCTTTCTCACCCTAATATCTCACAACATAAAGATGCCTTATAGGTAGCACTTCCTTTCTCACCCTAATATCTCACAACACATAAAGATGCCTTACAGATAGCACTTCGTTTCTCTAACTTTACAGTGGTGCAAGTTTGAAAATTTTATAGTTGAAAACAACACGAACATTGTTTTAAAGTCATCATATACATTGAATATCATATCATTGATTATTTTCATTATTTGTATATATATATTATTTTCTTATTGGTATCTTTAATGTAATAAGAATCTGCAGTGAAGAAAAACAAATTGTTCTGTGTGAATTTTTCAAACCTATTTAAATCACCTTATGCGACTTCCAACAGTGTAAAATGTTACTAAGAGACTTATCACTTGTGTGTATCTTAACAAATAATATTTGATATTTTCAGCCTGAACGACGCCCTAAGCAACACATTGGCTAAATGCTGGATCAGAAATCCGAAGGCTCGTTCATAGCGCCCCCCAGTGGCACAACGGTATATCTGCGGACTTACAACGCTAGAATCCGGGTTTCGATACCCGTGTTGGGCAGAGCACAGATAGCCCATTGTGTAGCTTTGTGCTAAATTAAAAACAAACAAACAAATCGTTCATAGTCATCACTAATTTAGAAGAGCTGATCAATGACATATCGTCAATTCGAATCCTGGGCCTTGCAATTCGCAGACGATATTGCTTATCGGATGCCTAGTTTCAATAAAATAATTTCATAATGAAGACATTTTAGTAAATTGATAAACGATATCAGTGACAATTCCGAAAAAGTGAGGCGATCCAAGTTTTGCAATATGATATCTCTGTTTGAGTCAAAATCTGTTAGTGAACCAATCAGTTCGGTTAGATAATGTTAAGGGTCGGCATGGCCAGGAAGTTAGGGCCCTTGACTCGCTATCTGAGGGTCGCGGGTTCGAATCTCCGTCCCACCAAACATGCTTGCCCTTTCAGCCGTGGGGGGCTTATAATGTAACGATCAGTCGCACTATTCGTTGGTAAAAGAGTAGCCCAAGAGCTGGCGGTGGGTGGTGATGACTAGCTGCCTCCTCTCTAGTCGTATTCTGCTAAATTAGGAACGGCTAGCGCAGATAGCCCTCGTGTAGCTTTGCGCGAAATTACAAAAACAAACAAAATAAACAGATAATGTCAAAACGCGGGTTCTTTTATACTTTTTTATTGTTTTAGTAGTAACAGTTTTAAGTTCCAACACCCAAACTAAACTACTATTAAGCTTCAGTTGACACAATGGTGTATCGGTTATAAGTAGATTATTTTGCTCTATTTAGTCAGATTTTAAATGAAGGGTGACACTTTGTCAGATAAACAAATCTGTTTCAGATATTTATACCAATACCAGAGAGTAACGCTGAGTACTTCTCTGTAGCTAGACAGTTCAATCCGCTTTTTTTAAATTGCTCCGATTCAACTTGTGTTGTTGGCACATTAGCGGAACCCTGTCGGTTAAGTGTTACCGCTAGTTTAGGTAAATTAAATTGTCACATAATTATACATTAAAGAAGGAAAATGTATCAGTTTAATAATAATAAATTAACAGTTATGTTGCATCAATGCAAATAAAACTTCTTGTTCAAATACATAGAATAATGTTGTATAAGTATAACGTACAGCTTTTTGTTCAGATAAGTGGAATGTTGTATCAGCTATGGAAATAAAACTTCTTGTTCAAATACATAGAATAATGTTGTATAAGTGTAACGTACAACTTTTTGTTCGGATAAGTGGAATGTTGTATCAGCTATGGAAATAAAACTTCTTGTTCAAATACATAGAATAATGTTGTATAAGTGTAACGTACAACTTTTTGTTCAGATAAGTGGAATGTTGTATCAGCTATGGAAAGAAAACTTCTTGTACAGATAAGAATATGCCAATGCTATGTTATCTAGTATTTTTTCGTATATTAGAATTAATGGATTTGGTTTACGTAAATTTGAGGTTGTGTTACATAATTCATTTAAGAACGTCGATATCTGCTTAGTTTTCGTGGACGTTTTGAATATTTCTCATAAACGAAAACAGATACTATTTCACTTGAAGGTCACATCTCCGGACTTAAAGTATAGCTTTATTTATCCAGATAGATCATAAATAATTATTCAGATAGCTCATAAATAACTGTCCAGATAGCTTATAAATAATTGTCCAGACAGCTCATAAATAATTATACAGATAGCTCATAAATAATTGTCTAGATAACCTATAGATAATTATACAGTTAGCTTATAAATAATTATACAGATAGCTTATAAATAATTATACAGTTAGCTTATAAATAATTATACAGATAGCTTATAAATAATTATACAGATAGCTTATAAATAATTGTCCAGATAGCTTATAAATAATTATACAGAGAGCTTATAAATAATTGTCCAGATAGCTTATAAATAATTATACAGATAGCTTATAAATAATTGTCCAGTTAGCTTATAAATAATTGTCCAGTTAGCTTATAAATAATTATACAGATAGCTTATAAATAATTGTCCAGATAGCTTATAAAGAATTATACAGATAGCTTATAAATAATTATACAGATAGCTTATAAATGATTATACAGAGAGCTTATAAATAATTATACAGTTAGCTTATAAATAATTATACAGATAGCTTATAAATAATTATACAGATAGCTTATAAATAATTATACAGATAGCTCATAGATAATTATACAGATAGCTTATAAATAATTGTAGTTAGCTTATAAATAATTATACAGTTAGCTTATAAATACTTATACAGATAGCTTATAAATAATTATACAGTTAGCTTATAAATACTTATACAGATAGCTCATAGATAATTATACAGATAGCTTATAAATAATTGTCCAGATAGCTTATAAATAATTATACAGATAGCTTATAAATAATTGTCCAGATAGCTTATAAATAATTGTCCAGATAGCTCATAGATAATTATACAGATAGCTCATAGATAATTATACAGATAGCTTATAAATAATTAATTTCAAGATTTGTGTATTTTAAAATATCAAGGCCTACACACCAACAATGAAATCTTTTCCTCTGTTTTTGGCCGTTTTGAATATGGTGCAATACCACGAGACCTTAAGTTTTACTACATTTAGAATTTTCATATAAAGTTGAAACGGGACATGAAATTATCAGTGAGTGTAATTACTTATGAGCTATCTGTATAATTATTTATAAGCTATCTGGACAATTATTTATAAGCTATCTGTATAATTATCTATGAGCTATCTGTATAATTATCTATGAGCTATCTGTATAAGTATTTATAAGCTATCTGTATAATTATTTATAAGCTATGTGGACATTCAGATTAATTAGGTCAATGCTTACAACAGTTAGATTTCGTTATTGTTGTATAGGGTCTAACACCACTTAGTGTAATATTCTTATGATGATTTGATTTTAAATACACATATTTATTGACTACAACACAAGTAAGATAAACCGTTTGAAATAAAAGCCAACTCAACATAATCCCTAAAGCCTGTTTCCATAATAGCAGGTAAAAGAATACAAAAATTACTATTTATATAAATGTTTTAATACTTGTACAATATTATAAATATACATAGGAAACTGTGTGTTCAAGAAAGGTAGTTTTATTTAAAGAAACTTATATACTACTTTTAAAACTAATAGAATGTAAAATTATAATTAATCTCCACA